GAGATTTAGATGACAGTTCACCATATCGTTCCCTCTAAAAAATGCATTGGCCCATTATCATTTTGCAAACCATCAACATACTATCAACTCTAACCATTCCCGCAATACGCCTCAATTTTCTCCATATAATGTTGGAAAAAAAGCAAAACAAGGTGGTGCATAAGCACATTTAACTAATATTTTCATCAAAGTCAGCTATAGTTAGTACGAAGTCCCACCAATTTGTCAATCAAATTTCTCTTCAAATGGTTCAAGCAATATGCATGATGTGCATTGAGAAAAACCATTGAGAAAGAGCGTCTAGCAATCCTGTTGACGGTCCGACACAAAGGCAATCTCTAGCCTGAACCATAGCTTTAACAACTGACTTAAAAAACACACATCCAATTATCTTGTTTTCAGCTTCAACAATCGCAAAAGCCAAAGGAAACAAGCCCTAAAACAAAATAACATTGAAACTGTAAAAATTAGCAGACTCACAATACAATAACAGAAACCAAAATCTACCAACTACCAAAACACACTCACAACCCAAAACTATACTAACTGCCAAATAAATGCAATACCTTGATTACCATCATTTGATGTTGCTGCAAGCAAATGCCCCTTGTTAACGCCCCTTCAAGAATGTACCATCACAAACAACAACGGACGACAAAATTAAAAGCCATACAAACATCCATGAAATGCCATAAACAAACCTCCGAAAACAACCCACTGCCACTACTTTCATCCACATCTAATTCAAACACACTTCCAGGATTCATTGTCATACCCATCTCAAGGTACCATCGAAGTTGGTTAAAAGAAGTTACAAAATCACCAAACAACCCACCTCTTGCCTTATCAACTCCTAACCATGTAACCCGATAAGAAACATATATACTATATTGCTTCTTCAACTTTTTTTTAACTTCAATAGGACGAGTCAACGGATTATCACTAATATCATTATACACAATATCAGACACAAATCTAGAACCAACCATTTTGTTACAAGATCTACGAGCAACAACCCCACAAGCATGCACATTATCCAACTTTATAATAAAAAAAATACCAGAATTCATCAATACCCTTCCATGCACAAACCATTTACAACTCGCAGATGACTTTATCATACATTTAGCAGTTACTCTTGTTGCATCGTTCTTCAAATAATTCACTGCAAAACCACACTCAACTGTATAGTTAGCCAATGCAATGCGGAACGCCGTTACTCCATCTTCAAATTCTTGACCAACACTGTGTATAATCATCTTCTAACTAGCAGACAACAAAATTCTCTCTGGTTCTGGATAAAAACTAGGCAACAAACCACCAAAATCATCACAATCGTTAATAAAAAAACTCTCACAAATTACAGAATCAATCTTAGAAGAATTATTATCAACCTCCACAATTCTCCTATCACCCACAACAACATCAACAACATGAGAACCACTACAACCTACCATTGACATCATATTTCCCAAATCATCATCACATTCAACAATACAATTAGAATTTCTAGGAATAGAGAAAAACAAACAAAAGTTACCAACACTCAACTCCTTGAACTTCACAGATATTTTCTCAACAACTTCTTGATAACTACATCCCTTACTAATCTTAATAGCAGCACAAGAGTTACTATATTTGCACATTAACATGAAACACCCCTCCATACTACAAAATCACAAACCAACAAACAATTGTTCGCAGATTCCAAACTTTAAAATTATACAGTTACAACATATCAGTATCAACACTTCACAATTCACAATTCACAATTCCAAACTGTAAAATTATACAGTTACAACATATCAGTATCAAAATTTCGGAATTCACAATTCCAAACTATAACTTCAAAACACATTACACTAAACAACAAACAAAATCAAAATCATTATACTATATCACATACAAAAATCACAAAATAAGTATCAAACAAACAAAGTTTATCACAAAACTAAGAATTACAATAACATTGCCAAACACAAACCAGAGATCACACAAATTTGCTTATCTATATATATACATACATATATGTATCGACAGATAGAGACAGAGTGAGACACAAACACACACAGAGGGAGAAAGAGAGAGCGTACGCAGAGATCACCTATACACAAAGATTCAGATCACACAACCAGAACCACCTCACAGCACAACGAGATCAACCTCACAACACAAAGAGATCGGCATCATGGAGAGAGATCGAGATTGCAGACAACCTCGCATAGGCGAATATTTGATTTTTCACGTACATATATCTCAAATCAAAGGGTAATGCAGTCATTTAAAAAATAAGAAAATAAAAAACGGGACATCCGAGTACAAAACTTAAAAAACTGTGGACCTATTAGTTTATTAAAAATATAGTGGGATTAGAAGGGAAATACATCCACTACATAGGACTACATAGTAATTTTCCCTTTCATTTTCATATATTAACATTTAGTTTCGAATCTTCCATCCTTATATATTGTCTCAACTCTTTATCTATTGACATATCAATTTTAAAAGTTGGGTCCAGTTTGTCTCCAGTTGGAGATCAAGATTAGACAATTCAATATGTTCTGTGACCCTATTTTTGGGTCCCGCTTCAATGATCCGAATTGTTAACATTTTAAGATTCGTCGAGTACATTATTCTTGTAAAAAATCAAGTCGATCGGATAATGACAACTACGTGTTTGAATCAATTTCATATTAACCGTTTATTTTTTCACAGTCTATTTTTTGTAAAAAATTGATTTAAACACGTAATTACCATTATCCGATCGACTTGATTTTTTATAAAGATAATGTACTCAACGAATCCAAAAATGTAAACAATACGGATTATCGAAATGAGATGTAAAAATGAGTTCACATAATGGACTGGACGGTGTAGTCTTGATATCTAAGTAAAGACAAGCTAGATCCTTAAAAGTTTATTTTGAATTCAAATTTTTGATGATGTGGTACCACTAAGAGGATGGAAGTGAGGGTTTAAAATAATAAAAAATATATATATATTTAAAAAAGGGTAAATTACACTTACATCTCCTGAGATTTAAGTTTAATACATATTATCCTCTGACGTTTGGGAAATTACACTAAACCCCATGTCATTGTAATTATTTAGACAAAATGAAGATATTCAACTCATACACTCTCTCTTTTCTTACTTTGCTTTACTTTCTTCTTCTTTTTTCCTTTACTTTTTTTTAATATAATTTTCTCTATTTTTCTACCAAGAGTTGTTGCCTTTAATATAAGTAGGGGTTTTGTAAAATGAGACTATTAACCATAGGGGTGGAAATGTAATTTTTAAAACATTAAGGAGTAAAATGTAATTGGATCAAATCTCAGGAGGTGTCAGCATAATTTCCCCTCCTACACTTACATCTCCTGAGATTTAAGTTTAATACATATTATCCTCTGACGTTTAGGAAATTACACTAAATCCCATGTCATTGTAATTATTTAGACAAAATGAAGATATTGAATTCATATACTCTCTCTTTTCTTACTTTACTTTACTTTCTTCTTCTTTTTTCCTTTACCTTTTTTTTAATATAATTTTCTCTATTTTTCTACCAAAAGTTGTTGCCTTTTATATAAGTAGAGGGTTTGTAAAATGAGACTATTAACCGTAGGGGTGGAAATGTAATTTTTAAAACATTAGAGAGTAAAATATAATTGGATCAAATCTCAAGAGGTGTCAATGTAATACCCACCCCCCCATCTCAGGAGGTGTCAGTGTAATAACCACTCCCCTCCCCAAAAAATAAATAAATAAATTGACAAAGGATTCCAAGCCATAACATTCCATCCTGCATTTATTTACAATAGAACAAATTCCATTCTTTTGCTTGAGTATTGTTAATTTTACACATTATCCTACTCACTGACTTGATACTTATAATCTCATTGAAGTAAATTATCTTTTAAATTCTAAAATTTTATTATTGCATGTCGCATTAATTAATAAGAAAAGTTTATACTACTTATTAATTTGGTTAGTTTTTTTTTCCATTTTCCATATGAAAAAACTTCAATTCTTTTTGTTCTTATTAATTTTCCATTTTAGTTATTAATTTTAGGAGATTTTTTTTTAAGGTCCCTGGCATTAAGATTTTATAGTATAAAGGACACCAAATATTTTCATAATATCTAAGGTCCCTCAATTTGATCGAGAGAAATTTCATCTAGAGAATTTCTTTAGACTTCCTAGAGAAATTTCTCTCCAGAGAAATTCTTATCCAGAGAAATTTCTCCCTAGAATTTCTCTAGACCTATGAATGTGAACGTGGTAAGAATGCAAGCATCAAACAACACTTATTTGCTTCTATTTCCCCTAACAGCAACAGGTTTAACTATTGTATCAACATCAAGGATACTTCTGCAGGCATGTTTGTGCACTTCATCCCATCATGTTTTCTCTTTTCAACATTATTTCTTGAAGCAAAGTATATCCATGCATGATTTGCAGCTGGAGAAATATTTTTCAATAGGGAACATTGATATTGCTTTGTGAAAGTTTGAGACCACCAAAAATACTACTACATTGTCATTGATGCTCTTGGCCATCGTGATTTCATCAACTCCACCACTGGTAGTTTTGAAGCCGGTATTTCCAAGGATGGTCAGACGCCTGAGCAGCATGCTTTGTTTGCCATCACTCTTGGTGTCAAGCAAATTATAGGAATTTCTCTGGCCTTTTCCAGAGAAATTCTCTCCAGAGAAATTCCTGAATTTCTCTGGAGAGTATAAGAGATGAAATCGAACTGCTTGAAGCTTAGTGAGATGACGTAGAGATCAAGTAACGAGAGAGAGAGATGAACTTGACCTGTAAGGAACTCATATTCATCTTCTCTGTATATTGGATGAGTCACATTATCTAACACCCAATCTCCTTTGAAGAAGGGTTCGAACCAGAGAAAATTACACATGATAGAGAAAATTAAACATGGCAGAGAATTTCTCTCCAAAGAAATTCTATGAAGGTCAGAGAAATTTTGGATTCCAATCTAGAGATTTTCTCTGGATTTTCAGAGAATTTCTCTGGATTTTCTCTGAATTTTCTTTGGATTTCAAGTGAACTATAAAGCAAAAAGTTTGTTTGGTTGCCAAGAAAAATAAGTGAAAAATAATTTCCATCCACAGAATACTATGCTAATTGATGACAAGTACCAAGTTAAACCACATCTTTTCCCCTTTTCAAGCACAGTATTGTATCTTCATCATCTCACTATGATTACTAAGCGAATGAATAAAAAGAAATATATATATAAAAAATAATAATTAGATACTTTCAACTGAACTTAATAATTTCATATCATAATAAGCAATGTGCATTAAAAGCAATTGTGGCTTAGCATTACAATAACAAACAACACAATTTATAGCATAGAACATCAATATTCACCTAATTTAAGCACTGATTCTTCTACTTTCAGTTTCAAATTTGGTAAACGCAAGTGCTTATATATAGTATTATGTACCAGGATTAAAGCTAGAACGCATGGCGGAGAAAACCGACAATGCCAAGTCAACAATGTTCCGATCAAACGCAGCAGATATGATCAAACAACAATCTGAACCGCTCACAACACCACCACCACTTGGATTCAAGTTTTCTTCGATCAAATCCAAGGCTTCATTCGCATTTTTCGATGCAGAGACTCAGTCAAGCAAGTTATCATCATTATTGAACAATTCGGAAACAAATGAGGGCTCGGCGTAGAGGTCAAAGATGGCGCAAGAGGAGCAGAGGAAGCTGAATTTGGACTCGAACTAGATGATCTTCCAGGCGACGCGAGATCTGTAGCCATGTTCTTGTGCTAAGTGGTAGTACTTGTCCAAACAATGCTTGTCCTTGACTTTGCCCATCTCTTCTCTCTAGGGTTTCGGAGAGAGAAAGAGAGAGAGGAAGTGCTACTCTGCAGTAGATGAGGAGAGACAAAGAGTCAAATTTCTCTGATATATATTTAGGGACCTTAGACACCAAAAAATAATTTTGTGGATCTCTTCCATTACTAAAAATGGAAGAGGGACTTTAGACTAATTTTCCTTTAATTTTATCAGTGGAGAATTTCACTTTTAACAAAGGAAAATTTTACTATTTTTTAACTTAATAAGGGAAAGAAAAGCAAAGAAAATTCAAGCAAATCAATTGTAAAGCACAAGGATTACATGAGTACATATAATATGCTCACCGTCTTATAATATTAGTCCTTATTATACAGCACTATGAATATTTATATTAATATGAGTACATATTAATATGA